ATCTTATTATAATTTACAATGAGTTAAATTCATTTCATTTAAATTTTGAATTTATCTTTGTGCTATCTTTCCCAAACCCCTATAGCCTCCTAACATCTAAATAGCATAAGAGGGGTAAAGTTTTTTTTGGTTTCTTCGTTGGTGTCCGGAGTCTATATTAGAACTCCGACTACTCTACAGGGCTAATTTGGGAATGATGTTTCCAATAGGATTTTCTCAAAGGCTCAAATTCAAGATTTCTAATTAAAGATTAAGTAATCTCACCACTGCATCACAACCCATGTTGATTAACCGGGGTAAAGTTGAATTGTTAACATAATGTCATATATGAGCATGCTTTAATATAATGAATAGTATAATAACTTCCCTTCCGACATCAAATGTCTCCAAATTTCCCACAGTACTTACTACTAGTACTTCCAATTTATATCTCTGCTGTGCTATTTAATTTCTATTATCTCCCTTTTATATTATTTGATCCTTATTGATTTAGCATATCACTAAAAACAAATTAAAGATGTATTTTATTTAATTAATTTTATTATAGATATTTTGATACTCTATATAGTTATTTAATATAAAGAGCTGGCAAAAAAATAATCTTAATTTACTAAATTAAATAAATAAATTGAAATAACTATTTTTAAGTACAGAAGGAGATAGGCTGGTCTAGGACGCCAAGTGTTTACTCTCGCCGCCGATATCCACAAGCTACAAAAAATAGCACAAACAATCACCGTTTGTAGCTGATACTAGGAATTGCATGACGAAAAAGATGCAAAATGTAGCATAAGTACCAAAGCAAAGGTACTCAGAGTAGGCATCATAGGCCAACCGATCAAGAAATCAGGCATCATAAGCCAACCCTCCCCCCAACCTCCGATGAACGTTCATTGGAAATTTTATGTTAATTCTTTAGTTTTAAATCGGTATTTTAATAATTAAAATAAAAAAAAGATTGATGAAATTTTGTTTAGTGATCTTTACAAAGATCTTTACACATATAGTTGGTATAATTTATTTATTTTTTTTATCCAAAAGGTATACACGAATTATATACATTCACGCAACTATTTTTAATTTACGATACGTCCGTGCCCATAAGAGCTTTTATTAGAAGTAGAAGATGAATACAATAAGTTATTTTTACACGAACATAGGTAATTAAGTTTATGGGCTTGCATTCATGTGCCAAACTGCACTTGCATTTCTTCAACTTTTTGAGAAAAAAACAACACTATCTGCCATTCAAATGATTATTCCTAAAATAGCATGAATAACACATGTGACACTTTAATAACTGTTAAAACTATTTTATCTTACTTTACAATTTAAAGATTTTATAATTATGAAGGGTTTAGAGTTTCTCTAATAATAGCTAGCTATTTTGCAGTTTTTTCGATGACTTAAAATTTTAGTCATGAATCCGCCTTTAACTTTCTTCTGTTCTACTAGGTGGAGAGGTAACAAGAATAATTTGTATTGTTTTTTTTTTAATATAGTTTTCTATAATCAGTTGTCTTGCTTACGGATTGACTTATGCAATAGTTCATTCACTAGAATTGCTAGAGATAGTGTTTAAAGGTTAATTTTCGGCACATATCTTAGAAAATAGGCATCGTTTTGAAGTTTCAAATTCTACTAGTTAAATTCCTCGACACTATCACTATTATCTTTGATGAGTTTCTCTTGTGAATATTAAAATTTCAAAATAATAACTATTTTTCAATTACGAAAAAAAGGTTATTTGTGAAATTTACACCTGAAATTGTCAGGCCCAAAAAAAAGCCTTAATTATTCCTGGACTTTAGCTGACCCAAGCTGAATTATTGTGGAAATTTGAATTTCTTCATATGACAGTTTTATAATTTTATTGAATAAAATATAGTATAAATTATAGGAACCACATATTATAAGTACTAAATAACATCCTATCCCTTCTAATTTTCTATTTACCAAAAATCCCTTAAAAATGATGTTTGCGGGATACATAGCGTTGTGCACGGGATACATTAGGTTTGATACATTCCACATAGCGGGATACATAGCGTTGTGCACGGGATACATTAGGTTTGATACATTTCACATAGCAGGATACATAACGTTGTGCACGGGATACATAGCATTGTGCACGGGATACATAGTGTTTGATACATTCCACATAGCGGGATACATATCGTTGTGCACGGGATACATGCGGGATACATAGATAAATAAGGGATTTTTGAAATTTTTGAAATAAGTAGGGATAAATGGATATTAAGGTAAGTAAAGGAGTGTGGTTAAGTAATTTGTCCTAAAATATATCTAGACAAACATTAAACCAAATCCCTTTTAGCTAAGAAATTACCAATTAATTAAGGACATTTTTTTTATTATTGGACAATGCTATGTTAATCAGAATTATTAATATCTCCCGCTTCTTTTAGAAATGAAAGGAAAAGAGAGAAATAATTAAGAACTGTATATACAATTACGCCATATTTAATTTTATTTTCTAGAAAATGAACAGATGAATTAATGTATGTGAACTGGTCCAAACACCATGATTAAAAAAGCTGATGATACTTAATGGCTGGGTGGTAGGTTCTACTACTTCATGATGATATTGAACCATTCATGCACCTAATTTAGAGCATTTGCTTTCAATTTGACAAACTTTAATTTTTCAATGAATTAATTAATGTACTACATATTATACACGCGTAAAATGCTAAAAGATTATTGAAAGAACGTACGTGTGATATATGTGTGGCTGAAAAATTAGCTATTTAAACGACAACGTATAAGATTTTTCTCGATCAACAAATTAACCTGGCATTTGGACATAAGAAAATATGAAAACTGAAAAAAAAGAAAAAAGAAAAGTACTAGTATTAATTTGTTTTCAAGTTCGAAAATAATATTTAAAAATTAAAGTTGTTTTTGGACATAAATACAAATTGTAATTATTTTTAAATTTTTATGAATGATTTAAAATAAAAATTGTGAAAACGATTTTTAGGACTTCTTCGAATTTCAAAAAATTCTGGAATTCCACTTCAAAGTTATATAAAATTCCAAAAGAAAATATAACAATCCTATATCCAAACAATTTTCCGAGATTATGGAGATTAAAAACCTCATTTAGTGGTACTTCATTTTCAATAGGTATACACATTGAATTTACCTAGCAATAAAAAACAGTACAAGTAACTCTATAAGAATAATTATATTTTCATCGAATCTCCACCATACTCATTTAATTAAAATTTTGGAGTTGGACCAGTAGTTGCTATAAATAATATTATCTAACACTATTGTTTCACCAGAATTAAATTGATATAATTTATAATCTCTACTCCTGTTGCCAATGGACTAGCTATGCTTTAAAAGTCACATTTACTATTACCCCCTCTTCTACTTTTCTTTTTCAAAGGTTGTGTCGGAGCTCAGGACGGCTTCAAGATTTAATCTTTATAAATTTAATTTTTAAGATTTTTAGTATTAAACTCGTTATATTCTTAAAAGTTATCATGTGTTCTTATTTAATATTTATTGCAATTCTTGTGAATTTTTACATATAAAATTGTATTCCGCATTAATAGTTGGATATGCACGCAGATTTATACTGTAGTACTCCATATCTATTTTAGGATAGAGGAAGACAAACATGTTATGTTTAGCTATAGCTAGTTTAATTAATGTAAGCCTTATGAAAAGCATTGACGACGACGTGAAAAAATATTTACATAATCAAATCACTTATATATAAACCTTTACAATCGTATCGATTGTTAACTTGAAAATATATATACCCGATAATGTAAAAAATAATATATTTTCAGCATATATAACTTAACGAGCTCAACGCAATCTATAAATATGGGTGACAATGCTCACCTGTTTTTTTAATTACCATTTTTATTGACAAACAATTAATAATCGAGATGCAACTGTCTGAGTAGTGGTAGTTTTTAATTTGTTCAGAAAATTCTCCATAGTTTTATTGGTAGATAAATGAAGTGTCAGGCCAAAAAACAAAGGAATGTATATTATAACCAACTGTAGAGAATAGATGACAAAAAATAAAATAAAAATACTTGTCTACCTTTTTTGCTTCCTATAGCACTTCTTTAATTAGGATTGGAGGAAAAGATTGAAGTTTGTTGATGTTATATATTCAAAATTGCTCCATTTTATCATTCGTATCTTTATCGTTAACAGATTGGTATAACGAACATACTTCGTCTCCACATTGGATCAACAAGATCATAAGGATTAAAAACTGCTCATTCATATAGAGACGTGGAATAGGCCCAACCATCAACAACCTGATCATATTTGATCAAGAACAAGATCATAAGAATAAAAAACGTGAAATTTTATCCTAAGGACGTACATAATAATTGATCAAAATTCTAATGGAGGATAAAATTACTCGATTTTACATAGTACAAGAGCAAATTCGACCTTTTCCCCATTCAAAATTTAAAGCATTTTCCAAAATAAGGTTTACAAAAACTGAAAGAAAGTGATTCAGCTCTTTTATATGATAATATGGACCTCCCCAAAAGGTAATTTTAATGTGGCCCATTTCCCCTCTTTTGCAATCAGTTTCGCTACGGCAGTCGCTGCTCTAGCTAATTGTCCACCATTTCCAAGTGTGATCTCTATGTTATGTATAGTTGTGCCTAAGGTCATATCAATTGAAGTAGATTCTTCTTTTGATCAATCAAAACCCCTTCTCAAACTGTACAAGCTTCTTCCAAAGCATACAAATTTCTGGATGTAGATAATGATATCTATACATATGGATCTTATATATGTCGTAGAATGAAGTCCCACATGGGTGGATATATATATATATATATATGGATCCAAATCTACCGAATCACTCATGTTATGATCTTGGGTCTTCCCGTTCCATCATCTGGCTTATGTTCTTCATGTAGCATTCAGACCAAATGACTATGAAATCACGTCGATACTTCCACATGGGTTACTTAGGAGATATTTCATTTAGTAATCTGTTCTCCTGGGATATATAGGTTATTCAATACAAAATTTCAGTCTCAGTTTTGATTGGCAAATAAGTACTATACATATGTTACTACATACAACAAAGAATAAATATAGATATACAGACTAAAAAGCATTTGGCAGAAGAAATAGTTAGCATTGATAGTAGTATATTAGTGTTGGGGGCTGGAAGAGTCTGTTCGGCTTTGACGTTTCTTCCTGTATCTCCAGGCAACTTGTATCCGCCTTGCTGCCAGCCCTCGCCAATATGGAGATTCATATCTGACATATTTATCAAAAAGATGTAACTATAAGAGAGTTGACGAATTATGATAGCTCAGCTGGACCTAAACTTTCACCTTGTTGGTGAGAGTTCAATTCCTGACCTTGTAAAGGCCCAATGACTTGGAACTACAACTCAACTTTGAAACATAAACATGTAAGTCTGACATCACCTCCAGAGAGGCTTCTTACTAGTTGATCTTCTCATACTCTGTATGCCTACTTTACGGATCTCCAATATCATGAGTGTAGTTGTGAAATATTAATGTCGCGTTATTTTATTTATCACCATGTTTCGAGTGTTTTTAAGAAATAAACAAAAAGAAAATGCATTGAACAATCAATAACTGTAAAACTGAATTACCTTAGGGCACCTTGGACACGTGGACTCCTCAAGAATCTTGCGAAAAGATTAGTGACTTCTTCAAGATCTGAAGCTCGTAATGTAAATGCTTCAACATTTGTTAGGCACCTGACTAGTCTGTTGCTCAGCAATCTGTGTCCTGGAATTCTGACCTTTTTCCCATCTGAAAGAACAAAAAAGAGAAGTGATGATAGGAAAACATTGCAATATCTATTTCATTCACACAACTTGATCTCTTCCAAGACAAGAAGAAAACTCTAAGCTTATTGAAGCTTCAGAAGGCCTATTCGATAATCTAGAGGACTAAAGTCAGAAAAAGTGTTAACCGTTCTTCATATGGTTTTGGATTATCTTCACTAAATTGTGAACACTCAACTTCATTTAATGGGGAAGTCATTTCTGTGATTTGACTGGTTGAAAGTTCAAAACAAATATTTATCTGAAAATCAAAACCATCAAAACAGAGACTTAAAAAACTACTTATTGACCCTGGAAATCCACAGATTTATTGCATCCTGAATTGAACTAGTCTACAATACGAGAGGGAACCCTCAAAGTTCAGATTCAACATAGACAATCTTAATTGAGTAGGGCACATTGTAATTTAGGTAGTCCTCCCATTTGGTTGAGGTTAACTCTTAGAACTCGAGAACTCGATAAACAGCTCTTGTTGAAATGGAACTGATGAAGTTGATCCCTACAATCTCCTTTCTGGTTTTTCTCTCTAACTTTGTATTCTACCCTTTTAGTTTTATTAGTTACTTTCTCTGTTAATCCTTAAACACTTCGACATTTGATATCTCAAACAACGAGAATTAATTGCACATTTGGTAATTCTCATGGAAAGACACCCTATCTGCTCACGTTTGTAAGGATGGATCTTGGGCCTAACTCAACCCCCAAAGCTAGCTCATGAGCGGAGAATTGTCCAATTCCATATAAGGAGACCAAATTCTCATCCCTTTTCCGATGTGAGAATTCTTAACACTCCCCCGCACACAGACCATGACACTTAATATGGGGGCCCAACATCGGTGAACAAAGAATTGGGATGAGCCTGACTTTGATACCATGAATAGATGGATCTTGGGTCTAACTCAACCCCAAAAGCTAGCTCATGAGGGGGGATTATCCAAGTCCATATAAGGAGACCAAATTCCCATCCCTTTTTCCGATGTTGGAATTCTTAACAACGTTATAATTTGAAACAATTAGAGTGTTTTGCTAGTCTAATAAGTCGCAGCAAAAGCTTTGACAATTTTTTTCATTGTTCCGATGAATATTGTCATATCTAATAACCACAAATTTGGAGCCAACATTCTATCATGCATATATGCTAAATATGAATGCACTCAAAAGACAATCTTTAGAAGATGTGTAATCACCTCTGTTTATAGAAGAATGCTCAAGGCACCATGTGAGGAGTTCTTCCCCACAGGCATCCCCTTCAGACAAGGAGGCCACATTTCCATCTTCTCCAATGCTTTCCATCTTACCCCGAATTATGAAAACCATCTTGTCAACTAGACCACCACGGTATAAAACTTTGCTTCCTTCTATGTATGTTTTCTGTCTCAATCTCTCACAGATGGCATCTATAATAGGTTCATCTAGAAGTGCAAATATTCGAACCTGCAAATCAACAACATAATGCAGAAGTCATGACAAAAGCATCAAAGATTATATGTTCAATTTAAAAGAGCCATTTACTACCAATTGAAGTTGATGAAGGGAGAGATCAACATTTATCTGATATAAATAAGTGGACAACTTTAAATTTGCATGGATAAAACGTGTACTTTGATGTGCTGAAAACAAAATAACTCTTTAACAATTCAACTCCACGGCTCCACACCACCTTGTACCTTCTCCCTATGACCAGTGACCCACACCCAAACCTGCTTTATACAGACCTCTACTACTTAATCTGAACCCAAGCTTCTATCTATTTGTCCCTGACTCCCTTCTAAATATGTTTCTTAATATTTCTTGCATCTACCTAATTGATTACTGTTCTACTTCTCCAATTTTTCTACAAACACTATGTCTCAGTCCCAAACAAGTTGGGCTTGGCTATATGAATACTCACTTCTTTATTTAAGCTCATTTCATATCATCACCATACTAAAAAAAGTAAAAAATAAGTTTCATAGAGCACATATCCCTTGTTCCCTATCTGTATCTGAGTCTGCATTGATACCAAACATTTATAGAGCACATATCAAGTCAGACTTGATAAGAAGGCAAGTCTCGATTGAAGGCAAAGTAAGCCTGATGTTACAAGTTCCAATCAATGAATCTCTTCCATGCAGAGGGAAGGCTAAACAGCTTAAATCTAACCCCAAACCAGGAAAGCCCCTTTTTTCCTGTCTGTTCAATTTGGTTAAACTAAAATTGACACAAAAATGAAATGTTTCAGAAACCACACCTTGATTGGCTAGATCAATGGTTCTAATGAAAAATATATGTACTGCATGTGAGCTCATCTATAAAGAGCATGAGGAATAAAATAATAAATAGAAATAAAAGATCCAAATAGTAGTCCAGTCGGAATTCACCTTTTTGATGAATTTAAAAAGATGTCTCCTTATATCTCTTTGAAGGTCTTCAGGAAGATTCTCTAGTAGCATTTCTTCATTGACCCCTCGGGTAGCTGCCCAGTTATATCTCTCTGCCTCTTGAACTTGCCTACAAGGGAGAGGATCATGCTTTTAGATTTTCTTGTAGTACAGTAATGAGAATGGATTCCAAAAAAGCTCATTTCTAAGACACGTGATAGTTTATCATTTTGGATTAACATTGATCATACTACTGGTGCTTTAATCTGCAAGAATAGAAGATATACAATGACAGCCCCCTCTATATTTCTAGAACAATTAAAAAGAAGCCTCCCTCTGATCCATTTAGGAAATCACCCTCGCATTACAGATCTCCTAAAAGTAATCGATCTCATGGTCTTTCACTTAGAAGTATAGATACAGTCTTTACTTAGTTCCCAAATAATACAATAATTTCATCCATACAATTTTTGTTATTCTTAATATCATTAGAGAGTTAATAGCAAAGCCAAGACTCGGAGGTGGAAAGGGTGGTCCAATTTACAAAATCATTTTCATGCTTTTGACAGGAGGATTGAAGAAGGTGATGCACAAGTTGGTTTATAAACATAAGATGGATTTCCTCAATGAGAGGCAGATCATGGATGCTGTGCCCTTATAGCTAATGAGTGTGCAAGTACCAGGTTAAAAAAGTGGAATTCTATACAAGTTGGATATTGAAAATGCATATCCGCATATGACCAAGTGAATTTGGATTTCCTACTCTATCTCCTGGTCATATGCGAACTTGGATTTCCTACTCAATCTCCCAAAGGAAATGTATCAAATGGATATTCTTTTGTACCAGCAGAAAAGATATTTAGTATTGGTTATAATTTTCCAATGCACATCTTCCCTTCACAAAGGGGTCTTAGAAAAGGAGACCCTTAGTCTCTTTTCCGGTTCTTGTTGGTCAGGAATATTCAGCAAAATGATAAGAATAGCCCAGTCATAATGGTTGGGTAACGGTTTTAAAGTAGCTAGCAGTGGGCAGTGGGTCCAACACAATGAAAATCTCACATCTACTATATGCGGATGATACATTAGTATTATGTGATGTTAGTGTGGAACAAAAAAGGCATTTAAGGCTTATACAAACTGGTTCTGAAGCACTGTATGGCCTAAAAGTAAATTGGAGGAAGAGTTTTATGTTCTCTGTGAACCAATTACAGGACGTTTCATCAACTTGCTGGTACAGTGGAATGACAAGTTGGTTCCTCAGCAACTAACTATTTGGGTCTTCTATTGGGTGCAAAAAAATAAGTTGCAGGAAAAATAGCAGGAGTGACAAAAAGATGAAGAGTAAAGATGAACGGAATGGAAAAGTCAATATTTCTCCTCTGGGCGGTAAACTGATTCTGATCAACAGTGTGCTTTCATATAGTACAACATCATACTGATATGTTAAGCCAAGGTCATGAAAGAGGACATATAAAGGACTGTTATACAATTCGGCTGGCACTTAGAAATCTAAGTTGCTAAAGAAAATTTTCCAGGTAGTTATAACTTATCCAACCAGAAATAATACTTGAAATCATTTTTCCAATAATAAGAAACAACAAGAAAGGGTAGTATACAGAAAATTTACAATCTTAGCAAGTCTCTAAAGGATGGAAACGAAGTCCAATCCAAGAAAGGCTTATTTGTAACTTGTAAGTAAGTAAGGTCACATTAAATAGAAGTCTGTTTAAATAATATTTTGATATTTTCTGCCATTTTAACTACTTCAGCAGAATAAGCCACTAAAAAGGGACCAAAGGAAAGGCTTCTTCTGACTTGTAAGATAAGCTGAGTGATGCTTAACTAACAAGCTGCAATAGTAGTAATCTTAGATATAGTGTTTTCCCCCATGATTCACGTCTTTTGATTCACTTTGTTTTTTGCTGGATTACACAGATAGAGGTTAGCAGGTTGTGGAGTGTGGTCTAGATTATCCTTTTATACTAGTAGTCATAGTATTACTCTTGTAGCTCTAGTTCCTCGATTCTATTATTATTTGCCGCTTTTTGTACTTCTATTATCGTATTTTTTGGTATAGTTATTGTACATGATGCTTTGTCATTCTTTCTATAATTATTTTTCCATGGCCTCTCCATTTCTGTTATTTCCTTCTCCGAAATGCTTTTATTTGTGTTTCATCGAACCGGGGTCTATCGAAACAGCCCCTCTACCTCTAGGGTAGGGTAAGGTTTGCGTCCACCTACCCTCCTCAGACCCCACTTTGTGGGATTACACCGGGTATGTTGTTGTTATTGTTACACAGATAGAGGTTGAATACCAACTTCTCTTTCCCCCTTTGCAGCAAGCATAACATTCATTGCAAAACTAAAATGTTTGATGAAATGTACTAATCTATTTGAGAACAAAGTGATGGAGAACTCCAATGGGTGTAACACTTCGGATGCAGGAGAACAAGATAACTAGACAAGTGCACTTCGAAATAAGTGGAGAAGGAAGAAGGAACTTTGAACCCACAAGGGTATGAAATTCTTTAAAAGTCAATTCTCAAAATTCAACTCCAATTAAATCAAGCAATAAAAAAGTACATTTAGGCATCCAACACCAAGACTCACTTGCAAGAAAGGAATGTTAAGGATATAATAAAAAATTAATTGGGAATATTAACTTAGTTAGATATTCTAGACAACTAATAACCATATAACATCTCATAAAACTAAAATTTACATCAAAACAATCAATCAGAACTATACTCAATTTGAGCTTACTCTGTACTTGCATCCCACATAACTAAACGTTCAGGACTTTTGAAGCCACATTGAGCTAAATTAATAGATCGTACTAATTCTTCAACTTTGATCCTAGAAAGTGGAAAAGCAGGTTGAAAAACACAGTTCCATCTCACAGAAACTTCAAGATTCGACTGAGATCCAGAATTAATGAAATTGAAGATAGGTGTGAGATATGATGATGAACAACAGATCACACACGCACTCAACCCAGGGATGCAATCAATCTATACAAGTATATTAGAAGAAAAACTTTGGACTATAGAAGTCAGATGTAAAGAGAAAAGAGCATCAAAGGCTACCTTCTCAGTTCTACTGGCAAGCGCCTATGGCTCATCCATTGTTCAACATCACGACGTCTCAGAGACATTTCTAACCTCCTGCAGAGAAAAAAAGAATGTTCATCGACAGCTGCACAAAAAGTGGTGCACAGTCAACACGAAGACATACTCACATCTAACAGTTACATCCAAGTAAGAGAATGTTTATTATGTTATACAGAAAGACAGGCGAACAATGTCCCAAATTTCCACACAACCAAATAGTTCTGTTATCCAAAAATATTCCTCCAAATATTCACTTTCTAATTTCCAACACATAACTAATCTTTTTCCTGAGAAGAGGCAATGGCCTCATGTTTCAGCTGAGAGAAACAATTACAAGATACTTATGTATAACTCTTGGGGCAGAATAATATAATTACTCTTCCACACAATATATTTATTCAATTAACTGTCAGTGTTCCCTGAACAGACTAAAAATAGAATGGCAATCATGATTATCCACAAGCATCAAGTATGTTCCTTTAAAAATGAGCTTTGCTGGAAAACACAAATACTGAACTAGTTTAGTTAGAATAATAGAAATTTGTACCTGCGATCTAGAGACTGCAGAAAGTTTTGCATGTTTCCAATCAGGAGGGCAAAAAACAGGAGTCCCATTCCGATGATAGCCATTGTGAACAAAACTTCCCACTCAAAATAACTTGGGACTTGATTGCCAGCTAGTGTACTAATTTGCTTTAAACACCATTATAAAAAATATGTATCAGAAGTTAATTACCACACTACATGATACAAGTAACTCAATGAATGCAATGTAGAAAACTCCTGGGTTGACTCATACAGGATGAAATTGTGTTAATATTATTGTGCCAAAATATGCTCAGTCTAAACTGGGTTTCGAAATGTCTCTGATTCTCACTCAATTACTTTAGTGCTATTTTTCTGACTTGTAATTTTCTATGCCGTTCCCTCCTTGCCCTAGTTTCAAAACAAAGGATAAGGGTATAACCGTATAACAATATCTAAACACCATAGTATGCAATTTGGATCTAAATCTGGAGTCCCCATAAAACAATGAAACTTTTGCCTACCATATTACTTGACAAACTGCTTGGGGACAAAGAAGTACTCTTAGAAATTTATCAAAAGCTCTGAAGTAAACCTACAATCCACTAGAACATGTAATACAAATTTCATATTTTAATTCAGCTGATATTAGAAATATGCAGATCATACACCCACAGTCATGAAGACTGGGTAAAGATACCTGGAATCCCCAAAACAACGAGTACACATATCTTGTGACAACACTCCCTTCAGTGGTTAGGTTAACAGCTTGTTCATAGATTCCATAGTCAAAACCTCCATTAGTAAAACAAGCAACTGCATCAGAATTGTTCTTCCACTGATCCCATGTTGGATCCCTCCAAAAATTTTTGTAGTCGTTGCCATGACCACAGTCTATGAATTCCACACACCTCGCTATCTTTGATTCACGACAAGCATCTCGAAGACATTGATTCACCCTCTAGAGATGGAGGAAAAAAGTTAGATCAGAGGATAATTTTGAAACAAGGACAAAGCAATTGGTAGGAAGCACTTCGAAATTTTCAATATGTTTGTCTCACACATACCCACAAACCCCTCTAGCCTCAGAAATGTACAAAGAAGCAAAAGTAATGGCTATATCATAAACAAAGACATAATGAAATTGAAGTAAGAATAAAACAACATAGTACTATGAAGAACATGTTTTCACCTGTAAACCAAAAAGATACCAGCATGAGCCCACCACATGGCTTGATAAAACAAAAGTGAGAAGATTTATGAAAAAATTTGCCCATGCAGACTCAAATACAAAACCACTTGGAGACTGGCCAGCTATCAAAGGCAAAAACCTGCACAACCTGGGAATGTACTGGAGTAGTATAGCAACCCTCAGTAGATTCTTCGCATAATTTGCCCCAGATGATGCAATAGACTTGGGTAAAATCAGCAATATGATGATCTGCACATAGCGTATATATTAATTATGCCTCAAAATCAACAAGAGACGGAGAAGACACCAAGGGAATTACTAATAACTAAACGCCAGTGTTCAGGTTGGGTACAATAAAACCAAAAGAAGGTTGTCCTACACTCCTACTACAATCAGTTAAAAAGTGGGTGTTATTACGTTCATGGTGTACATAAAAGCACTTAGTATGTGAGAGAAATAACTTTTCATTACTAATTCTATCAGTATTGAGATCCAAATAATGGAGTACACAGATATGAAGGTTAGAAATAGAAGAGAGGAAAGGCACATTTACCTGAGGAAGTGGTAATACGATAAAGAAGTCAACAACAAAGTATCCCGAGAGATAGTTTATAGCAATCTTTTTAGGGTGGTCAACCAGGTCACCTGCTCCCACCACCCTAGATTCAGGGGCAACATAAGCTAATCGGAACTGCAAGAAAATTGACATCACATACGCACACATTATTGAAATAATAGACAAGATGAACAAAAGTGAGTGTCAAACATTTGTCTCTATGCAGGAAAGTGGGAATAAAGGAAGCAAGGTCAACCAGCTTTGAAAATCTATTAACTATTTAGTTGGCTCATTGAATTAACTAAGCATTAAATGGGATGCAGCTGAATTGTCAATAAATACATTTAGAATAGAGTTAACCTGCAGAAGTAAAAAAACGTCATTCTAGCAGTATAATTCTGGAAAAATAATAAATATTGTAAAACCAACCAAGAAATTACCAAAAAAGCCAGTTATGCCGACAGGTCATCAGGAAAGAAGAGGACCAGATGACATCTCATATGGTCCGTGTTGAGAATATAATTAAGTAAACAAAAGTGTGCTCTCTTTAACAGCTTAAGATTTTAGATGAGATGGTCACACACTTCAACATGTATCAGAGCAAGCAGAGGTCCCGGGATCAACTCTCACTGCCACACATGATCAAAAAAAATTCACGTGATTGGCCCATGAAAAAAGAATCGGGCCCGCACATGAGGTGGCATGGTGAGAATATAATTAAGTAAATAGAAGTGTACTTTTTCTAACAATTTAAGCTTTTAGATGAGATGGTCACACATTTCAACAGTGCGCAAAGAATATTAATATTACACAGGTAAACTGTTGTTGCTAATCAGAGAGGAAAAGGATTCAGCAGAGTGAAGTGGGAACTGTTACCTGAAGAAGGATGTGCATTAAGTAGATGATATCAGTGATGCTCCTCAAAATCACAATAGTTGTTGTGAGGGGCCAATTTAGCATTATGCATTTGTTCCCCTATAATCAGAACAAGAAGAATAGTCTTTTAGAGAATTAATTCAACTACTAATCTTGTTTACTATATATAGAAAATTCTAGCACTATGAAAAATATTCATATGAGCGAGAGAGAATGCAATTCCATGTAAATGCCTAACAACAACAGACATTTTGGATTCAACATCCACCGAAAGAAAGGAATGTCTCGTATGAACAAAATTTAACGGAGTGAAATGTCTCAAGATCACAACATGCCTACAAAAGCATATAACTTCTGCTTTGGGGCTGTTTGATTGGTGGGATAAGAATAATAATCCCGAGATAAAATGTGGGATTATTTTATAGCTATCCCATAAGAAGGTGGGATAGCTAATCTAACAGGATCTCCCAACCCATGGGATATCCTAGTCTATCCTATCCCAACAAACAGTTTTAACTCATATCCTGAAAGCATAAAACCTGCGAGATGCCGAGAATAACTTCAGTTGAACAGATTATGTCCATTAATCCCAGGCATAAGAAAGTGGCTCTATGTTCTTGAGGTAAGAATGGCCTACTCTAAACTGAAATAGATTATCCATGGCATGATCTTGTGTAAAATAGTGGAATCACAAACCTGTCTTACATAGCTAGTCAATACTGTTCATGTATTTCACAGCTTACCTTTGTAGTATTTTATAATTGATTGATCATCAGCATCCTAGGGACTGAGGGTGGTATTGATATTTTGCATGAAATTACGTTCTTTATTATGCATGACAATTATGGAGAGATCATTATACCCATTTGGCCATTTGTGTATGTCCTGTAGTGTTCACTCAAATTTCAAAAGGAAAAATACTTTCATTATATTAAATCAGTTCTGGTTCTGCAAAAGCTATCATCTCTTACCAACCTATTCACTTCCTATCTGCGAGAAATGAATTAGCAAATCTTAGATGGTAGTAAGCCTCAGTGGGTGAGAAACAGAATCACTTGATTCTCTTTTCTTAGTAAAAGCATGCCAAATAATGTGAACTTTGAAAATATACTGCATATACCTAGATCTAAGTAGCACTAGCTAAGATAATCATACATATTTATATATGTTTTATCCCTCTTAACCAAATTATAGAAAGGAAAGTGATTTCTCTCTCATAGAACTATAAAAGAATACCTTTTGGACACAAAGCAAAAAGAAGAACAGGGGATCAATAAATACTGCAAATAGGCATGAGATGACAAAAAATTTGTTCCACTTCTGGACAATCTTCGCATGAGGATTCATGATGCCAGGAATATATGGATGCAAGAAAGAACAAGTTCTCTTCGCCCATCCTTTGGCATCTCCATACAGCACATTATGGAACTGTAGATAAGCACAATAAGAACAAAAAAACCCGATAATTTAGACAGCTTAACATCCAGTGAAATATTTGGAATTCGTAGGAAATTAAATGATGTATCTAAGAGCAACAGCTTAAGTACCTCAAACAAAGAAAATTTAGAGAAAGCCACAAGAAAAAGAGAAAGAAAAAGAAGTTAAAGGATAGAACAGCTTCGAAGCCTTAAATGTGCACAGGCCCATGAAGTTCTTAAGCTTAAAATTTGCATCAACTGACAACAGAGTGTGACTACTCTATTCCTCTCTTTTATTTCCATTTCAGGAAATGACATGGAACACCATCTGCACAGAGCCTCAACTAACTTTGAGGAGGCAACCATTCCAACTCAAGACTCATCAAAACTGTAGAAGCGTAATTGGGAGAAGCTTTATACCACTTTTTGGATAATAGATCCTATGCCTCAGTATACTTTTATTCATCTATCTACACAGACTTCACAATCCCTTGTCGTTCTTATAACATCTTGAGAATCACTGCAGGAAGTTTCTAAAACATCTTCCATCTCTATTTTCAAAATTTGCACTCTTAAAAGACTACAATTAGCACAAACAGAGACAAATTGGTAAAAGTCAGTGTATTTTAGAATTGAAACTGCTAGTCAGCTATACCATATTATCATACTTGTCATCTGTTAATATCTGTGAATCACAGGCACATAGTTATTTACCATTGATATAAGAGGCACCGTAAACTCGCAGGGGCGTAAATTCAGTAAATATTTAGGCACACAAGGATGATAGGTAAAGGGACAAATATACTTTCAACTGAACTAAGGTTATTCTTTTTCTTTACTTCTTTTGAACTTGTAAGGCAGTAATTCTATTAAAAACAGGAAACTGACACTAAGTTGGTGCCAGGGAATTATAATGTGACATGGACAAGGTCATTCTAATAATGGATATTGGAACTGGAAACCACAAAGCTTTCATTATTGCCAAAACCATAATCGAAGATAACCCAAAGTTTGATCGTTATGAATTCATCAGTATATCATCAACTTGAATGCATAAATAGGGGAAGTCAATTGGCCATGCATAGTAGTTTACCAAAGAATGAAAGCCATAGATGCATATTTTGAAAATAGTGTTCATGGTAGATAAAGCTAGAATTGGGACTCTGAAAATCACATCATAGCACATAGCTAGGAAGTCATACATTTAAGTTGATCAAAGTGCAATACCTTGTGATCAAATATATCTGAAGACTTCAAATTATTTTGCCGTGCTTTTAAAGGGTAATAGGTTGGACATGTTGTGCAATACGGATCGTTGCACATGCCCAGTTGTCCAGACTTAAAGAGATGTTCATTTTTCCCAGTGTAGTCATTATTACGCCAACCATTTCGTTCTGCACTGCTAATTGAAGGATATTTTTCTGTTGTAGGCAGAGTTGGTTTATGCACTACTGAAGCGGGAGTGGGCCGAAAGCTATTCTCAGGCTCGCGACCAATATATAATGGCCCACTCATTTGAACCAATGAAGTTCGCCTCTCACTTCTCAAAGGACCAGTATAGCCTACATAACTACTATCATTTTCAAATGAATCCATAGAGCTCATTGGCATTGACAGGGATGCACTCCTTGTCCTGTACGTAGAACGTCGATTTTGAAAGGCGTCATTTCCATCAGACTGTGGATATGATGGTGATAACATCGGCATCTCATCTTTTTCAAAAGTGTCCATCCCTCAGATAGTCAACCTGCAAGAGGAATTTAACAGCATTTTAATGAAGAAAAGCTTCTTCTTTTTTATAACCGAGAAATCCGTCTGTGACCCGCCCTTTGGACCAATCACAGCCTTCTAAACTCAATGGATAATGGGCCCGCCCCTCTACCCTTCTCCACTTAAATACCGGGCTTCGCTTTGCATGGTGTGGGGCTTAAACTTGCGACCTTAATGAAGAAAAGCTTTTGCCAGAAGCTTGACTGTTTAAAGAACAAAAGATGCAAAATGACTTCACAAGTCTTTGCAAACCAAAACTACAAAATCTAACAAAAAACTAAAAGTTCAACGAGTTCCCAAAACAAATTTCTAAAGTAAGCTAGATTACTTGACACAGTAAAGCAAATAGCAGATTTCCAAGACTGCAGGAGGAAAATGGAAAACTACCACCCAAAGCGAACCAAAGTTCTCAGACAAAAGCATGGTGAGAACTGAAAAAGTTGCATACACAACATAGATTATTCAGTAGTTGTGAAGTGACACTTACGTGAGTGTGCATTCATCGCGTGAGACATATAGATCTGTATAATTTTGTTCAAATACTTCCATAGTGCTGGGAATCCATTAGAATGCATTGAAAATTTTAATTTCTCTTAGAGAAAAGCTTGTATCAAGAGAAAGTCATAAATTAGACTCATTATGAAATAGATTATTGTTCTCCTTAGTCTCTAACGATTGTCGAGAAGGTGTCACGTGATCTTATAACTGTCACTCTTAATTCACCTTCTCTTCCAATCCTATAAAAATGGATGTCTAGCAGCTCAATAACCTAGGACTCTCTTCAAGTAGAAATCATACTCACAAAGGTATGAGATCATCATAGGAAATGTGTGTGTGTATTATACATATGACTTTTATGGAAGGGGAATGCTTTTCCTACAGGAATGTGTGTGTGTGTGTGTATGTATTATATACATGATTTTTATGGAAGGGGAATGCTTTTCCTACATAATTGATGCCTCAAAAGATTTCATGATCAATAACATGCTGCGTTGAGCCTAGTTTTACGTGTCTGGATATGCATGCCGAATAAATTTTGTTCCACACTCTAAACTGGAAAATTTTATGCAACACTTGATAGAGTCTAACATCATGTGACAACAACATACCCAATGTAGGTGGGTTTGGGGAGGATAGAGTATATGCAGACCTTACCCCTTACTTTACCTCAGAGGTAGAGAAGTTGTTTCCGATAGACCCTCAGCTCAAGAAAAAACAGTCCAAAGCAATCTAGCAAAAGAAGTAACAGAAGTACATGAAACAACAAATAGTAAACAGAACACTACTACCACAAAATAATATCTCTAGCATCATTTGACAATCTGTCAAAATTATCAGATTCAAACCCCCTATTATATTCATTGCGGGCAAATCAACTTCTTTCAACAAAAAAATACATAGTTTAAAACCCTCCTTATCTCCAAACCCATCATCTCCCTCCATTATTTTAAAAAAAATAAAAATACCAAGGATGGAAAATAGGAAAAGCTTTTATTTTTTTATTTTTGTTTATGACCGTGGTGTCCGGGGCTATCACCAGCAACAAGTAACTCTGTCCACCAAGGATATGACAGATAGAAGAATCACTAAGTGTTTTTTTATCTCCACTGAGTTTTGAAGAGATCAGAGTTCTTAGTCACTTTATTGACCATTACACCACACCATTTGGTGCAAAGCTTTTATAATTTTAAAATCTTGAAATAATTTAGAATTTGCTTCTAAGTTGAATTAATTGGGATAAATGCAGGATTTTTTATGCATGAACATAGTACACACTCTACTCTGACTAACAGACGCAAGGTTCTTGTAATCATCGAAAACGAAAAGCTGATAACCAACTTCAATTTCAACATATTTCAAAAAAAAAAAAAAGACAAACAAAAATCACAAAACCCACAATTCAACTTAACTTATTAACATAACTTGTAAGCAAAGGAAAACTGAAATTTAATCCAAGAAACTCAAAGAAAACTGATAATTTCGAGTACAGAAAAGATGAAGAAAGAAAGTAAATCAAACCTGATACAATTGCAAAAGAATTATGGGTTCAATCTGCTTCCGGCATTGGGAATATCAGAGTAGCAGAGAAACAGCAATGGCCAATTTTAATAAATAAACTACTACTTGCTAAAGAAAAGGAGCCGTGTAGGAGAAGAGAAAAATTAAAAAGACGACTTAAGAAGACTGACTGAAAGAGAATTGAAATTTATTACTCTTTCCTTTCATATTACTTGGTCGTTCAAACGACTCGTGGTTTTTTCCGACCCTACCCCCTAACATTTTTGTATCTATTAAATTAATGATAATAGAGAAAAAAATTCTTTCTTTTTTAATTTAATCCTTACATATAGAGCGATGGGTTTATGGCTTGATTTATTTTTATTATAAATTGGCTTTAAAATAAATATTTTTAAGAATTTCTTTAAACACTACAAAAATTATTTTAGCTTAAATACATCTAAAATAAGTAAATTCAAATAGGTTTTTAGTACTTCCTTGATCTCAATTTATGTGATATTATTTTATTAGACACGAAATTTTAAAAATAAATAATACCAAATTATCTTTGTTAAATTTACTTATAATAGACTTTTCTTCGCAATAAAGTAATAAAAGACTCCCCATAAAAGTGAAATATGAATTATGCTATTGAAAAGATATTTAAATAAAAATATATATAACAACTTTTTAGGACAAACAACGACATATCACTGAAATTTCACTAGTAAGGTCTGAGAAGGTAAAATATACACAGACCTTATCACTTCCTCATAGAGGTAGAGAGGTTGTTTCCGAAAGAGTCGAGCAAATACAACTATTCTAGATATAAAGAAGAAAATATAGCACATCACAAGAAAACAATGTAAAGTCTACTAGAAGAGAGCGCAAGACAACAATAAAATAGTAGAATAATCGAAACACAATAACAAACTAGAATAGATTATTGAAATAATAATAACTACGGATGGATATCAAAATAAGAAACTAAATGAAAAAAATTGACACATAAATCAATAAATTAAAAAATCGCGAAAATAAAGTATATAGACAAATCAACATTTTAAATTTTAATAAAAAATTTAGTAACCACACTCGTAAATCATAGAAATTTATGGACTCATCCGAACCTAATAATTTTAACTTAGAGCTCTATGGGTGAAATAGGAAAATACTGGATTATTAATGAAGTAGTAATCAAAACTGTAATTATCTCTTTAAGTTTGTTTTTTGTTTGATAGGGCTTCTGGTAGGTGACCAAAGTAACACCTCATATTTTTAAACATTAATTAAGATACAATCATTTTATTATTATATATATGCAGACCAATTCTGTTATAACATCGTATTCTCTTTTTATTTGTTGGCATAATCTCGTGGGTCGTTATCTGTCTATTTTATTAAATAATAAATAGGGCATACAATATGTCATGCATTCTGCGTCCTCCTTTTTCCTTTTACTATACTATTTCTCCCTTCTCCGTTTCAACACATTTATCATAGTTTGACCAGGCAAAATTTTAAAATAAAGAGACATTTTCTTAACAAGATCAAAATAAAATAAAATTATGATGTGTAATTTGAAAAGAATAAAATTCATTCAAATTTTATCTTGCTTTTGTAAAACAGAAATAGTTATTTTTAATAGATTCTCGTATCTATATGACCACTATCACAAATTATTTTAATTTATTTCTTTTCCTTTTGATGTATATTTCGGTCGCGAAACTTTTAACCGGTCAATATAAAGAGCTGGTGAACAAAAGGGGAAATCTCAGTCTTTAGATGACAAATTAATTATGAGTACTGTATTATTTTTATTTTTTTTAAGTGTGGCTCCTTTGTTTTTTCTAGTAGAAACTAAGCCACTAAATTATACCCCAGCCCCATGTTATAGCTAGAAGACAAATGAACAAATTAAAAATGATTCAAACAATATTGTTGATGAAATACATAATATAATCTCATTGATCGGCAGCAAAAAAAAAGAGTGAATATTCCAATCTCCAGTCAAGAGAAAGAAAATCAAAGAACAAAGTCTCTAGCAAAAATACAAAAGAGAGTAAACGAATTGGCAATATCGCTCTTGTCGCCCTTCTTGTTTCGTCTTTTTGCCTCTCTCTATCTCCGCCTTATCTGAAAATCTTCAATACTGTCAAATAATTTTATTTTTATAAAATAATGATATCGGAATCAAATTGTGTACACCTTTTCTTACAAGTAACTCTTATCTATTACTGCTTCAACAAACAAAATTACCAAATGAGTTTTTATCTCCACCAGTATTTACTTATAATTAATCATTAACTCTTCCAGATTAAACTACCGTCATTATGTCGTTGTAATTAGTGATTAGATCTTTCCCATAACATTAGTATTTCTTTTTTCTTTGAGATCATTAGTTGGACGGATTTTGCTTATTTTTTTTCCATTTTGTGTTCGATACTCCCATTTCTACTAGATCTCAATCTATACACTTAGTGGAGCGCAAGCTTTATAAAACTATTTTCTGTGAGATGGGTGCCTTCACCTTTGTAAGAACCTTTATCTCGAAAGAGATTAAGTAAGGCTAGTTTCTGACCATTAATTCCGTAACAAAACCTACATTCACGATAAGATTTTCAACTACGAGTCAAAACTAGTTTCAAGAGCCGTCAAATAAACGACTGGAGTTTACTCCCAAATAGGTGGGAATTATAATGCAAAGAGGACCACCTGATTAACCCCATATCAATACCAGCAACCAGTCGTCAATTTCTTAACCAATCCAACAAAATCTCCATTATTCACAGTTCATCGGCCTTACAAGAAATATTAGACAGTGCTTTACATTAAGGTAAAAAAAACGTAAGACTATCTCAATTAATAAGTTTTACAACTTTCTGTACAAGGAAACAACAAAATTTCCACACATCATATCCAAAGGATTTCAAAATCATACATGAAGAAAAAATAACAGCTCAGAACCTCCTTCGGAGAACTAAAATAAAACTAGAGTACTCATTCCAACTTGACTCTGTTTTCTTCTACCTGCTGTTTCTGGGGCTCGGCAGGAAAGTATTTTATTCCAGTTAGATCACCAACTTTGCTGATAACCTGATAAATGCAACAACTTGTAATTAGCTATCAGTGTGCTAACATGGAATTTTTTTGATATTGATACTCCATGGCCTGATATGGTTATGTTCTCTATTACAAGATTTATTAACTGAGATATCTAATTATGTCATCCATGCATACGAGGATCACAGTAAAATGTCCTCGATCATCAAAAATAGAATCTCAGCTATTGACCAACTAATCAAAAAAAGATGAGTATAGGAAGGTTGATGTTTCACACTATAGCTCAAACCTAGCAGCTCCTTATAAAAGGAGCATGGATGAAAGAATAATTACCTCATCATTTAGCACTAAATTATGTGGGCAATGTTTTAGTTCAAACCGTCTACATTAAAAAGATTACAAGGACAACTCCATGAAAGAAATATCGCAAGTGCAAGTGACAAAGTGATAACTGATAACTCATCGATCTAAGGTTATGCAAAAGGTTATCCTGAGTGCAATTAGTGTTGACATAGTGAGAGTAGAAGACACGAGAATTTGCTCATCAGAAATGACAAAAGGAATTTAAGGTCTAACCTCCAGTGCTATGTTAAGATCTTCCCGTGAGTGAGCTGCAGAAATACATATGCGTGCTCTGGCCAAAAGTAAAGGGGTTGCTGGAAAACCAACTATCACTACGGCCACCTATAATAACAGTAAACGAAGTAAATTCCAAGATAAGATCTACTGGTAAATTTAAACAATTGCCAATATACTAAAAACTGAGCCTGAAATGACAAGAAATTGTACATTCTGTTTGAGACACTCCCGTGAAAAGGCAGGTATTTTTGCAGGATTGTAGATCATGATGGGCATCACAGGAGAATCATTGTCCCCAAGGACCTCAAAACCCATCTTCTGTAGTTCTGATCGGAAAAAGTTGCTATTTTCACGAATGCGAGCCAGCTTCTGAGCTCCTACAATAACAAAGTAGCTCTTATGATGAGTACACAATTTTTACAATCCCAGTGGTCCAGATGCCATTAGAATTATCACAAGCTGCTAACTAGGAGCGAATTTTGATAGTCGAAGTTCTGACCTCTACTAGTACCATCTTCACCAAGTATAACCTTGATAGCAGAAATGATTTGTTGGGCAGCTGGAGGTGATATTGATGTGGCATACAGATGAGCTGGGCAAGAATACTTCAAATATTCAATAAGTTCCTGCATTTGTTGTCAAATGTCAAAATCAACAATTATAAAATAACATCACATTAACCTAAAGAAGGGATCTTCAAAAAACAGCTGATAAGGTGGAAAAGAAAAATAGAAGAAGAAAAAATAAGCAAAGTAGTCCACCAGCAGTGCAAAGGGAATGCTATGTTGCAAAAGAATAGGCAAAAGGCTCACAAACACAAAGTTAAGACATATCTGCATCACTGGAATGTTTAGCATCAAATTAGGTTGCTAAGTTTGACATAGTTTCACTTGTTTTTTGTTTTTTCTGGATAAGGCAAAGATAAACATAGTTCACTTGTTAAAAGTTAGGTTTTCTGGATAAGACTGGAAAACAATATAAAAAAGAACAACCGATGAAGATAATCTCCAACAGATCCAGGCCTCCAAGAAACATGTAAAGGGAATTCAATACCAGCTAAAGACTACATGGAATTCAAACAGAAAACAAAAGACAGATGCTTTCTTCTTCTTTTTCTACTCTGTTTTGGGGATAAAGAACAAAAGACAGTTGTCAATTCACTAAAATTAAAATCTGAAAGATAATAATATCATTGTTTCCCCTTTGAATCTTTCACTAAGATGAAGTGCGTCAGCAGAAGTGTCAATGGTCTACAGATTGGACTAATGACACAACTGTCTGACACTGTAAAAGTAGTGTATAAAAGTCACTTTGATTTCACTATTCCACCCTATTTGTCATACTGCCATGCACTTCAACAAATACTAGAAACAAAGACTTTATCTATAGACAATGAGAAACAAAGTCAGCTAGCACCATTATAAGAATGCCACTGAAGAAACATACTTTAGA